TGCTGAACAGCATGTTTCAGCAGGTATATGTATCACCTTATACCAATACTCAACAGCATATGGCACATGAAAGAAGCAAAGAATTGGGACAGAGAGTGAAGCAGAGGGGGCAGAGGAACCTGAGGGAGGACCCAAACTAGGCAGAAATTCCAGTCAACTAAACAAAAAGGGGCTTTTATAGTCCCACAAGTGAAGGAAAGGAACTTGTAAAATGCTGTGTCTTGAAAAATTACAGTCTAAAACTTTCAGTAGTTTTAACCTCCACTAACAGTAACTACATTTACTGGAAAAGGAAGAAAAAATGCATGCTATTTTAACCTCCAGATGAAAAGATTTATAAAACTCCAAGCTGCAAATGTACAACAGAATTAAACACGAGGTCAGGCCCAATAAGAGAACTTCTGTAACAAAAGGTGCTGACCATGTTAAAAAATGAACAGCTATATACTGAAATAACTTTCAATAAGAAATCCCTGAAAGTGCTACATGTGCATCTGATGCAATGTACAATACAGATTAGGTTATGCTATTCTCATACGTTGCCTTCTTACCTGAGAACTTGGATCCTTGCTTCTTTGTGCTGACAAAAACGCTACTGCCATAAAATATTCAGGCCATTCCAAATAATCTTCTCGTTTCTTGCAGGATGCTTCACTGCTGAAACTATATGGAAAGAAACCCAAACAACCCAGCCATCAGCAAAGAACACATAGCTGGAGCTATTACAAATTGTATTCTTTTAATGTGTACAAGTTCAAAGTACGCAGGATCGTAATCTGGCTAAGACGACTGCACATTCACTGATATTTAACAGTAAACCCATCAGTGTTATGTGCTTTCCAGGGACTTATATATGCATTTTTTCCTTTCAGGGGAAAGGCATCCAAGCAAGGTTGCAAATTTCAGTTTTAGGTATGAGGCTGAGCTATTCAGAGCACTGAGCTATTCAAAGACAGAGCAATTTATCCTTTATAGATAACACCTTTGGTATTTCTAAGATTCAGGAGTATCATGTACTAGCGTTCTTTTCACCCAAACAACATAATCTTTTTTATGATGACTGTGCTAACTGCAAGCCTCTCATCTAAGATATTTTGTACTTCTGCCTACAACAAGTGCGTGCTGGATTTCTACTTGGTACCTTCATGCGCAGTCATTTGTTTCTTCCTGTACAGTTATTGCCATGAGTTTGCCTCTCATTACAACACTTACTAGCAAAAATCTGAGGCCATTCTGACAGCCCGCTCCTACATTCCTCTTGAGATCATGGAAGCCTTGGGGCACAGTACTTTTCTTCTTAGGCTCCACTTACCAAGGAGTACAGCTCAAGACTGAAATACCCTTCTAGTGATGTACAGTGATGCAGAAAAATGCATCATAGGTAAGCACAAGCAGCAAGATGTCTCCAGCAGTTTCAGAAAACAAATAAACATCAGAAGTATTTTGTTAATTATTATTTTTATAACCAAAATAATACGTTAGAAGCTTGCAGTTAGCTTATCACGAAGAGGTTATACCACTTGAGTGAAGACAATGCCAGCACATGATAAAATTGTACTTTAGAAACCTACAGAGGGCTTTTTACTGGTTTTGAATAGTTCATATATGGCACATTACAAGTTAGCAATTTTGGCTTGTTCTTGGAAATGAATGAGGATCATCTTTAAGGCAATCTTCCCAACCTAAGGAGGGAGAAGCACACACTCTTGGTGTAAAGAGCACACCTATTTCACATTTTGACAACATTGTAAACAGTGCCCAGACTGTCAACTGTCAAAGGAAACACACAGCTCAGGTATGTGAATGAGAGTGCCCCTAGTGGCTCGAATCATTGTACCTAAAGGATTGGGCCCATACCCTACTCAAGAAAAAAGTGTTCAAAGAACAAGAAAGTCACAGCAGAAAGAAGAGATCAAAGACATGCCCTCGCACCTCCCTCTGCCAAACTGAACTTTGTCAGGTTAACTGGCATGCCTACAAAGTGCTTCAGCTAATTTAAGTGATTATTTCAAATATGTATTTCACAAAAGCAGACTTATAAAATCCAAAACACCATCAGACTTTATAATACATTCCCAGCTACGTGACATTCACTCACAGCCATGTCTTTGGAGATGCAGTCAACACACAGTGTAGAAGTATACTGAATAAAACATTCTGGGCAAAGGGCTCCAGAAAGACAGTAGTACACTGAACTAAGAGATCATGAGATCTCCTTTTGTTAAATTATTCCCTCACAACCTTATTTATTGAAAGCACAACAAAAGCTACTATTTACTTTTCTCATAAATACAGAACTGCGTGTAAGCAGAGGTCCCCCTGAGTACCAACTTCACACGGAGGGGAGCATATCTGAAAAATGAGCAGAAGGCTTACATCAAAGAGAACATAAAAATACCCACTTACTCAATTACTTCTACTTAACATCACCATGTTTGGAGATATAATTCCCTCAGCTCAGTGCACAGGAATGCTAGAGTGTGAAATGGGTATAAACCACTTCATTTCTGACTGAGCAGAAGCCAAGACCTTGGCTAGCTGTCAAGCACACACAGGAAAATTAAGTTTATGGATTTGGGACAGCTGATCATCCTCCTTATGCTCATCTCTAAGTTCTAGAATTGCATGAATAAAAGCTACTCTAGAAATTACAGCTAGCTGTAAAATAAGCAATTAAGACTTATCCTTGTGATAACTTGTAAGAACTTAAAAATAATGGTAACTGAAAGCCATGAAGATAACAATGCTCAAGAAGAAAATGGAAAAAAATCCTTGAGAGTGATTAGCAGTCTGTAGAAAAGTCTGTGTAAACAGTATTTCAAAGGAAAACGAAAAAAAGATTCTGCAATTACAGGACAGTGCCTCCCTTTTCAGTCCTTTTTCACCCAGCTAGGATTCAAATAAGGTGTAACACCATCTGAAAACGGAATTCTATTCAGCTTCTCAAAAAAACCCCAGTCTCTCTTAATTAAAATTTTAGTTGATAAAGCAGAGTACATCACCTCAAATCTTTTCATACCACAGTCACAATGGTCAGCTACACAATACAATATAGTACAACTGGAGAATTGGTGACTGTAAGACTTTTTTTGCCTTCTCCTTTTTTCTACCTCTCCTACTCTGCTCTACCTCTAATTTCATGTGCATTATGTTCCAACTGTATCGTAGTAGGTTTTTTCCCCCATCATACTACTGAAGATCAACTATCAATATTTTTTACTTAGAGAATTTTAGGTGACCAGCAGGCCAAAGGAGGTGATCCTGCCCCTCTACTCTGCTCTTGTGAGACCTCACTTGGAGTATTGTGTCCAGTTCTGGTGTCCTCAACATAAAAAGGACATGGTGCTGTTGGAGCAAGTCCAGAGGAGGGCCACGAGGATGATAAGGGGGCTGGAGCACCTCCTGTATGAAGACAGGCTGAGAAAGTTGGGGCTGTTCAGCCTGGAGAAGAGAAGGCTGCGTGGAGACCTCATAGCAGCCTTCCAATATCTGAAGGGGGCCTATAAGGATGCTGGGGAGGGACTCTTCGTTAGGGACTGTAGTGGTAGGACAAGGGGTATTGGGTTTAAACTTAAATAGGGGAAGTTTAGATTAGATATAAGGAAGAAGTTCTTTATAGTGAGGGTGGTGAGGCACTGGAATGGGCTGCCCAAGGAAATTGTGAATGCTCCAACCCTGGCAGTGTTCAAGGCCAGGCTGGACAGAGCCTTGGGTGACATGGTTTAGTGCAAGGTGTCCCTGCTCATGGCAGGGGGGTTGGAACTAAATGATCTTAAGGTCCTTTCCAACCCAAACCATTCTATGATTCTATAAAGAGGTAAAGTGTGCATTAAAAATAAAAATTTAACATCTTCAGCAATGCTCTTGTTCCCCAAAGCCAATGGGATATGTGTTCTTGATGACTTTCAATACTAGCTGCTTCTTTAAGTCTCACAATTTTGTTTATGATCGTTATTACGTCAAATTAATGTGGAGTTTCCTTTACTTGAGGCTTGTCATCTTTCCCCTCACATAGGTACTGAGATACAGTCACTACCTATTCCTTACTGGGCGGTAAGTTTTTGAGAGAGAGATGGAGAGAAAAATCAACCTTTCTCGCAGGAAAACACCACTCTGTGCACTGAAAAGAAACTATATTCAATTTTTTCCTGCAAGATAACCCACCAAACCTGTACACTCTGTGGAAATACTGAGCCCCAGTTGAGCAGTACAGTAACATTTCCCTTCACTGAATGCATTTCACTTTCACAGCATCACTTTTTTGACTTTAATTAATCACATACTGCTCACGCCAGTCTCCATTTCAGGAAATAATGAATTCAAGATAACCTACCTGCTCTTTATCCTACCCCAGTGATTACCAAACCCAAATAAAACAAGTCATACCCTCACGACGGGGCCTGCGGAGTCCTCAGGAAACGCCTCCCCGCGGGACGTGCCGTACCCTCCCTCCTCACAGCCGGCGCCGGGGGACCCCC